GGCCCAAGACCCGAGCCGCTAGCATTGATAACAAAGTAGAGCAGGTCGCCAACCTCCTTTGTCCGGCATCCAATCACGCCAGCCATCAGGTCATGGTGGCCCGAGAGGTACTTTGTTCCCGAGTGATACTCGATGTCAACGCCCATCTCGAGCGTGTTCTGCAGGTACGGAGACATCATCGTGTTGTCGACGACGACCAGCGCCGAGGGACAGATGTCGTGCACCTTGTCAGCAATCGTCCGAATGTCGGCAATCTTGATCATCGGGTTGGTCGGCGACTCGAGAAGGACCAGCCGTGTCTTGATCGGATCCAGCTTCTCCTCAACCTTTGTAGGATCCGTTGTGTCGACGTTGTGCACCTTGACTCCGTTGAACTGGGAGACATATGTAAGGAGTCGGTTGGTGCCGCCGTACAGGTCGTCGCCCGCAATAACCTCCTGGCCGGTCTTGACCAGACGCAGGATGACGTCAAGTGCTGTCATTCCTGTCGACACGACAAACGCCCGCTCGGCAGACATGATTTTGGCCATATGCACCTCGACAGCTGTCCGCGTCGGGTTGCCCGACCGTGAGTAGTCATACTGGCCTCCGGACCCGTCGGCATCCTGCTGCTTGAATGTGGCTGTCTGGTAGATTGGGACCGACGCCGCGTTGTAGTTGTCCTTGACTGCGTCGCTATCAATGTGCACTAGCTCGGTGGCCAGATGGTATGCAGGTCTTTTGGCAGACGAAGAGGAGGAGGATGCGTCAACGGCCATTTTTTTTTAGAATCTATGGTACTAACGATATAAAGAGTACAAAAAGAGGAATAAATCACAGAATGACAACAGGGAAGAAGAAAAGCAAAAAGGAAAGAAGGGAGAGCAAAGCGTCACTTTTATAGGCTTGTAGCTAATTCCGTGCGGTGGAATCGACTCATCAACCCATTTTGGGGGGAATGAAAGACAACCACTCAGCCAATCACAGCGAGTGATACCAGCAAAATCACACTCGGATTTCGATTGCGTGCGCGATGCATGAACAGATCGACAGATCAATGAATCATTGTCGTATCTCAGAAGAAAACGGGCGGCATTCTCCCGCGCGCACAAGCCACTATTGAATATACTCAACGGTCAGATTTGGGCCAATAAATTAAGCGGAAGAAAATCAATCACAAAATCAAGCCTCGATGTACTATAACTCACATCGGACATTCAGACATTAGATACTAATGGTTAACAGAATATATGTTACGCAGGAGATCATGGGATGACGCATTGCGACATCACCATGATTATATGCGAACATGGAGCTGACGTATCTATTATGATGGTTCAGTCCAACGACGAGCTTCTTCAGTTTACCTATATAAGAGCGAACAGCCGCCGAAAGATGGCTGGTTTTCTCTTTGGAAATATAACACGTTAAAAACCCTATATCATACCCTTTGCAACATATACAAAGTAATTCTAATTTAATGGCTCGATATATAAAATTAATAAAATTAATAAAATAAAATAAAATAAAATAAAATAAATTGCTGCCCACCCAACTGCTCAACTGCTTCCCCGCTGTTAGTCATCATACCCACTGCAATTATTTTTGCTGGCTTTCATAGCTATCTCAATCTTGATAGTTCTCCATGTTCTGTGTCAGTAGCCTCATTATTTCTTGTCTTAGGACTAGGTGGTATTTTGTAACAGAGTGATATCTGTCTTATTGCAGATCAAGCAGTTTCTCCACACTAAAGCATACACCGTATGACATCAGCATAATGCAAACATATAATCATTCTCTCCACTTTCACACATTTTCTTGCCACAAACATTTCTTCCCCCCTCCCTCCCTATAAAAACCCAACATCCCTCAGCGCCCCTTGAATCTTTCCAAAATTATCCTCATATCGTTCTCATTGAAATACCAAATATATATTTACACCTTCAGATCACACCCACACCCGCAACAGCCCAACTCGCCTATCTCGAACAAACTCTGCTTTATCTATTCCATCTCGAGGCCAGCCTGTGTTTAGGCTGCCATCTGCTCAGTCACATGTGCCGTGCTGAAAAAGCATTACCTTACCTGGCGGATGTGACAGTAGATGGTTGCCGCAGGCTGGCACCTCTTCTCTATTAACTCTTATCCAGGGCGGCTATTGCTTGCCCTACACAGTCCTCCACCAGAAATGGTGGATGTGTCAAGCTATGCTGTAAGTATTCAACAACATGCTCTATTGATCCTTCATGCACTGTAAACTTCTTGTTATTAACCAACTCTGCCTTCTTCTACCCTCCTTCTTCTCTTCTTCTTCCTTGTATCACGCACACTCCTCGGAAAACGACACATCTTCCTGCGACATTGCCCTGACTCGTTCCACCCTCTGCTTTGCTCCCCTTCTTCACTAAACTTACACTCGACGACACTCCGCCATTTCCCGACATCTGGTCTACTCTCTCGCCGACATGCGCACACTCATCGAAAAACGAAACGCCTTTCTGCTGCCATGCTCCACCCCTATCCCGCACAAGATCGTTATTTTTCATTGGGAATCCATTTTTCGCGGGTAAAAATCACTTTATTGGGCATAGTCTGGCCGAAGTGTACCCAATAAATTACATGCTAATTGAGACTAACAGCAGCGTGGCTAGCTTTCAGACTATATTTCATTTTGCGCTTGTACCATTTCTAAGCATTATCTAAACACAACCACCACTATTGCATAAAACGACTGTACACCAATTGAATCATATATTGCAAGATTTCATTAAAACGTTCGTTTCGGTGGATTCAATTGATATCCAGTTTTTGGAATTAACATAAAAATCGTCAAGTTTTATGGCAAATGACCAGATTTTGGTCTGTCTTCTGATAACCCGTATGTGCTTTGCAGATATAATATGTTGAAGATCGTGGCCTAAATTTTATTTTAAAATAAAGTTGGCCAGAGTTCATTGTTAGTTAAGATTGTGAATAGTAAATTCTATAAAGGATTAATACCTCAGGTAGGAAGTAAACTAATTTAGTAAAATATCCCCGTTAGATAGAGAATATTTTCTTGTAGTAGTAACCGCATGTTGCAAGCTAATAGCATAATATGATATTGTGAAACTCTAAATTTTTATGTAACGCTTGTAGAATGGTGCTATATATAGTGTTCTTTACTGTTATTTTAACGTTGGCGTATGCAGTTGCTGATTTAAAATACCATTTATCTGGATTTTTATTACTTTCTTGGATATCATGTAATATGCTAATAGCTTTTAATAAATGTTGTTTATCTCTATATAGCCAGCTTTAATGCCGTTTTCATATACATGTAGCTTATGTAGTTGTATTTCTGGCTATGCTGTTTGTTTATTATTTGATTAAGCGTTTAAAACGTAAATATTATTTTATTGAATGATGCAGCAGCACGGACATGGCTTTCTGTTTGTATTTCCAAAATTGTGGATAACCTGCAGACATAAGACAATGTACACTAACCAATAATATTGGCCGAATTGCACGAATTCACATGGTTAGCTGCCACATGTGCGTTCTTGTTGTTGCAGAACTGGGTGTTATCGTGGTAGTTGGCTGCACATGCATTGCTATTAAAGCGGTTAGCCGTGTTTACAGCAAACGGAAAGCCCCACCGACCACAACCGCCGCATCCCCATCCACCACAGTTGCCACATCCCCATCCACCACGTCTGGCATGATGATGTCCAGCATGTACATTTTTGTATGTACGCTTGTAATAGCCTTGGGGATAAGACTCACCATACTCCTGCGCAGGCCCAGCGTCGGAACCAGCATCTGGCATGACTGCAGCATCAGATGCATCAGCAGTTGGAGCGGCAATAGCAGGTGCAGCAAGTGCAAAGACAAGAGTAGCAAGGGTAAATGCGGTAGAAACAAAAGCAACCATTTTAGATTATTATAAGCAAGATTAAAGAGGTATTAAGGTTGTAGCTAAAAAAATTGAACTGTGCAAATAAAAATGTAGTGATAGATGACTTTGAATTTTTATTGGTGTCGTTGTTGTTGTAGACGCTGATGAGTGAATGTAAGTTGGACACAGAATAACCACCACCTTGGGCTATTTATATATTTAAGTAAAAACAAAAACATGACTAGCAAACCGGTACAGTAAAGATGATACTTTTACTTTCCAAACACTTAAAATGGATAAATCTAGGCTGTATTTTTTTATCTAATCAGAAATCTGGTGTAAAAGATGCATATTTGCGCGAGATAAAACGCGTTGCAGTTGGGGCCTCTGCCATCAACATAACTATCGGCTAACCGCATGCCGTAAATAATGCCTAAACAAAAGATGCAACATTTATTACAAGTATCTATCAAGAAAAAAGATATAACTGCAAGTACAAGAAATTATAATTTGTGGTAGTACTATTAAGATATCATGTACAAATTTATTAAAAAAACATACAATAGACAGATATCTAATTAAATAGATACTATATCAATTATTAACTCAAATGACCATTTAAATACGTTAAAGTTTACAGTGCAACAATAAAGCTACCATGGTTTTAACAGAAAACTCTATTGTGTTCTTATTATTTTCTCAAAAACGAATGTCTAGTTATTAACATCTAACTTATTTCGAGACACAACACGGTGCATTGCTAAATAGTCAAAACATCTTCAAGATTCATTAAAATTCTTTAAATTAGTTTATTGAAATTGTCAAGGTATTTTAACTGTGAGTTTGATAAAGAGATAATGGAAAAGACAAAATTTCTGGTTTGCCCTGCTCTCCTCAGCATAGAACCACTGCTTTTCCGCCTTTACCTGTAACCCATAAAGATATCAAAATATAAAGAATGCGTACGTAAACAGTAGAATAGATAGAATGTAAATAGCGGGTGTGGAACGCCAGAGAACGTCGGTTAAATGCTTATTTTTTATTTTTATCCGTTTTTTTCTACAATGTTAATCTTTTTAATTTATATATATTTTTACTTGAGTCAGTAAAGGTTGCAAATTAGACTAAAAATATGCGTTTTAATGCCTCCATAGCTCAATTGGTAGAGCGTTCGGCTTTTAACCGAAATGTCGTGGGTTCGAGCCCCACTGGAGGCGCGTTTTGCTGTAGTTTTTTCATTAATTTTTTTTTTTGAAATTGTCATTTTACCGCTTTTTATAATACAACAACTATTGAGCTGTTAATAGTTTTGCTTCTTTGAAAGATATTTTATCTTTATTAATCAAATCCGGCCAATCTTTTTGTCCTGTGTGTGATTGCACATGCTCGGCCTGCACGTGCATGGCCGAGCTTGCTCAGCTAGCATTTAGCTAGCTGAGCAGCACTATAAAAAGACGGCGAACTTGGCTAGCAAGTTCGCTTCTCTTTTAGTCAGTCAATAATAATTCCTAGTCTCGTTGCCACAAGAGTGAAATAACACTGTGTATTCAAAGTGAGCTTGGTGATCTAAACCGTTGATGTTCCATCTGATGACTACTTATAGTTGGTCATTTATCTTGAAGTATTATTTGCTACTAAAAAGTGGACAAGATTTGCCAATGCATCTCTAAAGTAAGCCTTGAGTTGATAATGATATACATTCTGATTAGCCGCCAGTGCTGAAAACCGTCAGCATAATGATGACAATGCCAATTGGAAGAATGGCAGATGTAGGGGCTTGAAAAAGCAGCGAACAGGCAAACATTGAAGTGGTTTTTGGCAACGAAAAACAATAAGGTAAGGCAAGGGGTATTTTAGATATAAGATACTCAACTGCCGAGATTAGGGCATTGGCCGGGAGTAAACTTTAAACTTTGAATTATACTCTATCTATTAATATTGCCAGAGTTCTTTCTTTTACTCATAAAACTAGTCATAATTTATAAGCTAGTGAGCTACTAACTTCCACTTTTTTATTTTCTTTACTCAAATGTTTATAACCTTTGTTGGACAATTACTCTTGCAAAATTTAATTTGTTAAGCCTACAGATACATATAAGACATGTTGAAATAGTCATAAAAAAGTAAATCATGGCAAAATACAGCTTGTCGTACAGCAACAGACACAACTACAGATTAGACAAGTTAGGGCCATATTGCCATAGATTATTTATTATGTACAGACAATTAAGTGCGGGTGCAAGGTTATGTGTAATATTACAGCTGCACTTCTGAAATGTAATCATGAACTAGCCAACGTACATAGATTGAGTATAATATTTTTGCACATTTCAAGCTCTGCCTGCTTCTATTCAGTTACATTCTTGTTCTGAATAACCAAGATTGTGATCCAGGAGCCCGTATCATTCACTTGTGTAAATATGGTTTAACCTTTTATATTCATACCAGACATTAGTTAAAATCGCCCTGCCTGAATCTTGAAACTGATCCAATGACTTTGCATTGAAACCACACTTGTTTGGGTATTTTGTATTCATACAATTTTCAGAAGAAAACTAACACCAGCCTCAGCTCTATCATTACTCTGACATATGCGTTGGCAGAGTGCTCAAAACAACCGCTTTACATTCTCCATTGTGCAATCAGATTCGGCTATAAAATAGCAACAGTCGCCTGCATCATCTCGAAAGTTAACACCAAGCTCCTTTCAAGATTTAGTTCTTTTGTCGCACTTCCCTCTGCCTACTACCACTACCACGCCTGGTTTATTTAATCGCCCGCCCAAACCCACTTCAAACCCTATCTCTTTAAACTAACCATGCAGATCTTCGCTACTCTCCTGATTGCCGCCTCCGCCGTTCTTGCCCAGCAGGTCGGTAGCAGCAGTGATGGTAAGGGCTCCTCTGGTCCCAGCGCAGTTAGCCACCCCAATGAGAGCAACGGCTGGCAGGCGCAGAACACACTCTTCAGCAACGGCAACTCTGGCGGAAACGTGTTCTCAGGTCTCCAGGGCAACACCTTCGACTCGAGCGTGTCCAACTTTGCTTTTGACGACAACAACGCCGTCAACCCACCGCAGTCGCAGACCTCGGGCAACACTAGATCAACTGCAAACGACGCAGGTAACCACATTGGTGACGTTATCCCGGGTGCTCCTCAGGTTGTCGGCCTTGCTGCTCCTTTCCTCGATAACTATGCTGGTTTCCACAAGCGCGACATCGAGTTCAACAACCTATTCAATGGACAAGGTTATGGCCATTTCCATGAGGTTTACCCCGAACTCGGTTATCTGGTAGCTGTTGCTGGTGGCTATCCTCGCTCTGACGGATTTGTTGTTGTTCAGGGCTTTTACGAATTCTAACTGGCCATTTTATTACCTAGAGCTTCAAGATATTTTAATTAAGCAATAAATACTATGCTGCAAGTATGTAGATATTCCAGGTTTAGGTCAAAAATATAAAACGCATTTGACAGACATGCATAATTAATCTATTTGCAATTCCAATTTCTCTGATTAATGCACTTGTCTATTTTGTGTGCATGGGAATGTGGCACCACAAAAAGCGGAAGATCTACTTTTTATTTCTTATTACCTTTTGTTTTTTTTCATACTTTCATACGCACCTTTATTGCTTAAAATGGCTCATATACACGACTTGGACGATTTTACTCTTTGGCGCGTCTTTCAATTTATAGTCAGTCTTTACATAAGATATACGTATCAATGGGAAAAATATTATCCACTTACAGGGACTTGTGCAAGGTGGCGCTATTTACTTTCCCGTTACTTCTATCAATTGGCATTTATTAGTCATGTTGATCCTATAGATAATACGATAGCTTATACTCCACGCACCAACATTGACGATATTTTGGTTAGTGGTCGGCATGACTATGTCAACACGATGGCTATATATATATGGCATGGCAATGATTTTTACGAGCATATGGATTTGATACTTGATTACTTCCTATCTAAGAACATGGTATGGCCTAACATTCACAATTTGTTGATCCATTTTAGCAAAAGAAACCTCAAAGGGGCACCCAATATCGTAGTATTTAATCGCTATACAGACGCTGTTCAAAGATCTGCATATCTAGCTAAACAACTTGTATATTTGTTCGGCAATATAGAGCATCTAGAAGTCGAGATTGATAATAATATTGCTCATACATTTGCCACTGTTCTTATTGGTGCATATGGTCGACAGCTGCGGTATCTAAACAGCTCTAATGTATCAATTCCAAAATCTTTAACTTACTTTCCAAAAACACTGGCTTACCTTAGTTTGAACCTTTCTAAAGTAAATATGAATTATTTCCCCATTGTTCTTACTGACTCACTTATGTTACTCTATCTTTCGGGATTGCCATATAATTTTTCTCTTAGCCATTTTGCTCATTGCGAGGAAAACATGAGCATCTACTTCAACAATTTGGTCGATATGTATTTAGAATATAATCGCAAATCGGATCCGGTTTATAAATTCAACCATGCTACGATTGCCACTGAGATGTTTGAAAAGAAACCATACCATTGCAATATATATGCACCAAGACTTCGGTATTTAGGTTTGATTAACCCGTCTCCATATTGCGATATAGTCTATACTCTTTCTGAGTTATGTCTTGATACATTGTTGCTAAGTGGTTCAATCCAGGCAATGAAGTTTTTAACCAAATTTTCATTGAAAATAGAAAAAGAGCTATACTTAAGCTTTAATATTCCTAGCGACCAGCTTAATTTGGACTTTTATGCAATCTCTAATCACTTTTCTCATCAGTCTTCAGATAGATACAGATTACTTTACACGATTGGTGGTCCACGAATACATCTTGATTTGCGCAATTTGGAATGGACAAACTTGAACAGCCTAATTATAGGATTTGCAATGTCTACAAGTTCAATTCTCCAAATAGTTATAAAACTCCAGAATATTGAGCATATATGTATCGTTAATCTTATTCCCGATTATATATCTGATTGCTCTAAACAGCTTGGATTTCAATTAGTTGAGACTGCAATCCCAATTAAATCTAAACTTTTGTCTATGTATATAAACCGTACTGCAGACTACAGATCTGTATCTCATCAACAGATGATTGAAGCTATTACATATATGATGGCAGCTATATCTTCGATAGAAATTATTGGAATTTTAGAGGAATTCGTTGATGACGTAAAAGAATATGTTTCCTCCAACGTCTCCACATATCCACACTTAAAAACTATGAAAATTGATACTGGGGACTGGGACACTTTTCCCTGATTAAAATGTCTAACCCTGTCAGCCCAGGTTAAAGTATATTATAGGCAAATTGCATCTTTCTTCACTAGATTATTTTCTAGTATTTACCTAATTAATATAAAACTATATATATATATATTAATATTTAATGTAACAAAAACTTGTATACAAAGTAATAAAATTGCTTGTTTATTCCTACATCTAAATTGTTTGTACACCTGGGTGCAATATAACTGTGTTTATTATTGATATGACGTAGAATCAACTAAGGCCTCTATGGTATCTGCAGTTATCTCAATTATTGTAACGCTATAAAATATAGCCGCCAGCAGTCTGTTGTATTTGCTAATGGCACACGCTTTGGTATGCTCTCTGTTACGCTGTAGAAATGGGTATGATACCCACAGACGTACACCAAAACACATATATGCTGTTGGATACACAGCTGCGGGAAAATAAAACCGCAGACACATATTGACAAGCAATCAACTTGTCAGGCAGTGGCCGGCACTGCAGACGGGTTACAGATAATGGCTGGAAGAATGCCACCCAGTGGTAAAAAGTGGCTGAACCGTTGAAAGGGCTACTGGACTGGGACAAACGAGAGTACACAATAATTCGCTTTCAACAGGTTTTGCCGAACCGGTCGACAAACTTCAGGTAAACAGTGCAAATTTTATTAGAATTGGGTGGCAGCGTAGAGTATCAGAGGACGAAACAGACATAAACGACGGTAGCGCCGAGGTTGAGACAGGAAACGGGAGTGAACTCTTATACTCTGACTAAGCTGGCTTCTACTCCCTACCGTATGCTTCCCTTCAATTGCTGCATCGGTTACCCTTGACACATTCGCAGCATGCCGACTTTTATTTTTTCTTTACTCATTTTCTCCTATACTGGAGTTTAACAGTCTTGACTGGTAATTTCCCCCGCACATAATTTTATCTAAAACTAAAAACCAATTT